GGAGACCCAGTTTGATTCCTGGGTTGGGAAGATCCCCTGGAGAAGGGATAGGCTACCCACTCCAGTATTCTTGGGCTTCCCTGCTGGCTCAGATGGTAAAGAATGCACCTGCAGTGCAGGAGACCTGGGTTTGATCCCTGGGTCGGGAAGATCCCCTGGAGGAGGGCATGGCAACCCTCCCCAGTATTCTTGCCTGGAGAATCCCCATGGACCGAGGAGCCTGGCAGGCTACAGTCCATGGGGTCGCAGACTCGGACTGGACTGAGACTAAGTCCAGCACAGCACAGCCCTGCTCTCCCACGCTCTGTAAGACTGCAGACTCCCAGAGAACCCGGTGGAGTGCACTTTCAGAAAAGCAGAAACATTAAAGACGACAGATGTATTTCCTCACACACCATGCTCCCTCTCTACATAGTGCTCACCTACTTGCGCGCTCTCACACACACAATCAGATGTTCACACATGTCAGAGACCCAGATACACTTTCACACCCTGAGAATATAAAGTTGAAGAAACTGCATAATCTACAAACCTCTGTCAACACAGAGGCATATCCGAAGAGGCAGGATTTGAAGCCTACAACTCTAGATCAGCTTCTTGCTATTCCTGCAACTTCCTCTCAAGTCAACAGAATTGATTAGGCCACTTTTCCTGTGGCCTAGAAACCAGAACTACGAAAGGTTCAGTATAGATCACTATAGTGTGCTCTCTCTCTCTCTCTATTATACTTGCACACTGGCGTATGGAGGCTTTTATTTTCTTGAGGACAAAAATAGTCACTGTTATGCATAGAATTAAGCATAGTTCCAAGCACAGAGAAAAAAAATGCACACCTTAAGCTAGAGTTATAGAATATTTTATATTTCCGTAGTTTAGAAAAGAAAGCAGAAAAACTAGAAACACTAATCTTTACTTCCTCTAATTATTTTTGCTGTACTTAACATAAAACAAATAGTTTAAAAAATATTTTTAAACTGTTATCAGAACTTGATGCAAAGTGTTTATTTCAGAATGTGGAAGTGAAGTGAAGTGAAAGTCGCTCAGTTGTGTCCGACTCTTTGCGATCCCATGGACTATACAGTCCATGAAATTCTCTAGGCCAGGATACTGGAGTGGGTAGCCTTTTACTTCTCCAGGGATCGAACCCAGGTCCCCCCCCCCCGCTGCAGGCAGATTCTTTACCAGCTGATGATACAGTTCCTTCAGATTATCTCCAATCCATAATAGTTCTCTCTCATGCTTTTGCCTTTCAATTTGCTGATTCCTCACCCTGGATCTAACAACTGCTTCTTTTTTTAGCTAACTTTTGCTTATGTTTCCACTTTATAACAGTTTTGCCATCTTCCTTTCAAGCCTCGCCAGAAACCTCCTCATCTGGCCCCTGGTCAGCCTCCTCCCTGCTCCCACAGCACCCTGGCCTTAGCTCTTTGGGAAATGTAGCCCCATTCTGGGCTTCCCTGGTAGCTCAGCTGGTAAAGAATCTGCCTCCAATGCAGGAGACCCAGTTTGATTCCTGGGTTGGGAAGATCCCCTGGAGAAGGGATAGGCTACCCACTCCAGTATTCTTGGGCTTCCCTGCTGGCTCAGATGGTAAAGAATGCACCTGCAGTGCAGGAGACCTGGGTTTGATCCCTGGGTCGGGAAGATCCCCTGGAGGAGGGCATGGCAACCCTCCCCAGTATTCTTGCCTGGAGAATCCCCATGGACCGAGGAGCCTGGCAGGCTACAGTCCATGGGGTCGCAGACTCGGACTGCACTGAGACTAAGTCCAGCACAGCACAGCCCTGCTCTCCCACGCTCTGTAAGACTGCAGACTCCCAGAGAACCCGGTGGAGTGCACTTTCAGAAAAGCAGAAACATTAAAGACGACAGATGTATTTCCTCACACACCATGCTCCCTCTCTACATAGTGCTCACCTACTTGCGCGCTCTCACACACACAATCAGATGTTCACACATGTCAGAGACCCAGATACACTTTCACACCCTGAGAATATAAAGTTGAAGAAACTGCATAATCTACAAACCTCTGTCAACACAGAGGCATATCCGAAGAGGCAGGATTTGAAGCCTACAACTCTAGATCAGCTTCTTGCTATTCCTGCAACTTCCTCTCAAGTCAACAGAATTGATTAGGCCACTTTTCCTGTGGCCTAGAAACCAGAACTACGAAAGGTTCAGTATAGATCACTATAGTGTGCTCTCTCTCTCTCTCTCGCTCTCTCTAGTCACTAAGTCATGTCCGGTTCTTGCGACCCCATGGACTGTAGCCTGCCAGGCTTCTCTGTCCATGGGATTTCCCAGGCAAGAATACTGGGGTGGGTTGACATCTCTTCTCCAGGGGATCTTCCCGACCCAGGAATCGAACCCAGGTCTCCTGCATTGCAGGCACATTCTTTATTGACCAAGTTATGAGGGAAGCCCTATCGATCACTATGGAGAATCATAAAATATGAGTCAAAACTTATGCCAGCCCAAAGACAGCTTTGAGTTTTCACTGAAAGCACATTACTAATACACACTCAGTGAACCCAGAACCCAAAAATAGCCCTTGGATTTACCAAATGGTCTTCTCAGTTTACATTTCTTCCAGGAGTATAAAATAACATAAACATAAATACAGCCACAGACAAAAAACACGAATATTTTAGATCAGAACTTACTAACAATGTCAATCAGTCAATAAGTCAATTTCAGCAACACTGACATTTTACTAGCAGCATTTCTTTACATAACAATTTAATGTTCTATTACACATTGCCCTTATAATTTCACTTTAAAAATTATTATACTGTGGGAAAACAGTTAATTGGAGGTCACTGATTGTTTCTGTGTTCAACTGTAAAGAAAATAAACAGAAAATATAACAAATCGTAGAAAAATCTATTATGTCTGAAAGGCACAGTATAAATATTCTCTCTCCAGGGAGAAATTTTATCACATGTAAATCAATTGTTTAACTTTCTCTTCAAAGGTGATTTAGAAAATATGTAATACACAGATTCAGGCTTATCTATATTGGGGAATTTAAGAAATCCATTTTATATTAAAGCACAAGAATAAAAGTAGCTCTTAAAAATTCATGCTGTTGGGGACTTCCCTGGTAGTAGATGCATTTCCCTCTATATTTAATTATTTTTGTTTAAAAAGGGAGGAGTTGCTTCAAGTGATACCATCAATAAAATGGAAAGAGAACCCACAAATGGAAGAAAGTATTTGCAAGCCATATACACTGAAAATATAAAGACTTTTTACAGCACAATAATTAAAAGGGAAGTAACTAATTTTTTTAAACAGGCAAAGGATTTGAATAGACATTGTTTCCAATGAAGATACATGAATAGTTATAAGCACTGAAACAGGTACTCAACACTTTTGGTCACTGAGAAAACGTAAATCAAAGTCACATTGAGACAGCACTTCACAACCACTAGGGTTGCTATAAATAAAAAAGACAGACAATCACAAATGTTAGTGAAGACGTGAAGGAATTGGAGGCACTACATATTACTTGTGAAAATACGAAAATGAGGCAGAAAACAGTTCAGTGATTTCTCAAAATGTTCAATATACAGCCACCATATTATTCAGTAATTCCAATACTAGGTGTATACCCAAGAAAAATAAAAACGTATTTTCATACAAAATCTTGCAATAAATGTTCAAAGCGGCATCATTCACAGTAGCCAAGGAAGTGGAAACAATTCAAATGTCCACCAATCGATAAACAGATAAAGTATGAATATATGCAATGGATTATTATTTGACCATAAAAAGGAATAATGCACTGATACAAGTTATAACATGCATGAACTTCAAAAACACTATGCTAAGAGGAAGAAACCAGTTACAAAAGATCACATACTGTATGAGTCTGTTTACCAGAAGTGTTCAGAATTGATAAACCTAGAGACAGTAAATAGATTAGAGGCTGCCTAGAGCTGAGGGTACCTGAGGTGCGGAAGGAGGTGAAGGGGGAGTGACAGCTAAGAGGTTTCTATTTGGGGTGATGAAAATGTTCCAAAAGTAGATTATGGTGACGATGGCAAAATGGTAAATATACTAAAATTGGAACTGAACCTTTAAAGTGGAAGATTCTCATTGTATGTAAATTATATCTCAGGCTGTTAAGGGGAGGAGGAGGATGCATAATAAAATAAGGCATTTTATTTCTTTGGTGTCTTTGAAGACTAAATAGTATGACTTCTTAGATCATTTATCACTTTACAAAAAACCCCCCACTGTTTCCACGTTCACATCTAACACTTAACAAGACAAGTGTCATTGAGAGAACTGAATATCATTGAAGGCCCTGGAGACAGACCTAGGAAAATGTGTGAATTTTCAGGAAATCTGTACTAAAACAGACCAACAGAATATGGGCCCGGGGTGGCCACAAGGGGAGTTTCCAGAGGTTGGCCTTGTCTCTGTCCTATCCTGTCCCAGAGGGCTTGGTATTTCCCTGGACCCACACCTGTTTAGCTTCTGGCTGGTTCCGGGGGCCTCTGGCATGGCTCAGGAGTATCACGGGTAGGGGGAGATGGGAAACCCCGGAGCAAACGATGGACAAACATTTTTCCAAAGAAACTAAGAATTCAATGAAAGCTGTGAAACAGCAGCCTCCCCACGTGCATAGGAATCTCAAACTGATGGACCTTAGGGTTCGGTCTGCTCCTCCCATAATTAACAAGGATCTCAAAGCTTGAGCAGTAATTGGCAAATAGAAACAGGCATCAGGACTCGAGGGCCCACACCGGGAACTGCTGTCATGCGCCCTAAGCTTGGGCTCTCTCCTTGGCAGGAGGCTCCTTCTTTCCCCTGCCCAAGTTCAGAGGCCGGGAACCTCGGATCACCCGCCCACGCCCACCCGGGCAGGGACCGTGCGCGTGGCGGGCGCTGTCTCGCGCGGGCGCAGCGCATCCACGAACGTCCCCGGGATCCGGGCGGCGGGACCACCAACGTCCCCCCGGGGTCCCCGCGCCACGCAAGCCGGCTCCCACCTTGCTGCTGCACCATCTCCAGGACGTCTGGGTCGCCCATCTTCGCCAGTTCGTTGATGACGCTGCCCGAGGGGGAGACGTTCGACCACTGCGACGATTGGCAAAATCTGGTCTGAAGGCTGAATCTGACGGTGGCCCGCCGTGTTTGGGATGGGAGCAAGAAGCCCTCTTTGGAATCGTGGTCCTCCTCGGGTTCCACCGGCCTCGGGGGCGTCAGCCCGTGAGGCTTCCTCTCCGGCCGGTATTTCCGCTTGTTCGGGTTCTTGAGGTTCAGCTTCAGCGTCCTCTCCCGGTAGCGCCTCTTGGACCGCTCCCAGGGCATCTCCCGGATCTTGCCGGGATGAAAGCCTCTCGGCTTCCACCAGTGCCCTCGGTTCTGGCCCTCCCGCGGCTCTCCCCGCCTCTCTCTCCTCCCCGCCAGCTCCCCGCCCCTCGACCCGCTGGGCTGCGGGCTACCAGGCTCTCTCTGGCTCCCGCCCCCTGCCTCACTCGGCCCGGGCTCCTCCGCCTCCCGTCCCCGCTCCGGGGCCGCGGCCGCCTCCCGGCCCTCTTGGTCTGGCAGTTCGCTTCTCAAGAGGCCTTGCTGGTCCCATCCCACCGGGCTGGCGCCCGTCCCGGGCTCCTGGTTCTCCTGGGCTGCCGCCTCCCCTCTCTCCGAACCAATCTCTGCTGCCAGCCGACGGGTGAGCTGCGCCCTCAGCCTGTCGGTCCCGTCCTCGTCCATCTATCTGCCCGGCCCTCCGCCTAGAATGGGCGGCACTCGGAGAGAAACCCCTTCCCGGTTGAGGAGTTATTTTTTTGTCGGGTGAGAAAAAAACCTGCCTTCCTTAAGGGGACCCCGCCCCTTAAAAGGCACGCGCGTGGCCAGTTCTGGAGATTCTAGCAGCCCCTCCTTCCGGAATCCTGCGCAGAGCTGTTTGCAGCTGTTAGCAGCAACACGGTTGGTGGTGGTTTAGTTTCTAAGTCGTGTCCGGCTCTTGCTACCCCATAGGCTTCTCCGTCCATGGGATTTCCCAGGCAAGAATACTGGAGTAGGTTGCCATGTCCTTCTCGGGGGATTTTCCCGATCCAGGAGTCGAACCCAGGTTTCCTGCCTTTTAAAAGGGAATCCCATCTCACACACTTGGTGGAAAGTCCAGTTTGTCCTAAATTCGAATTCAGCCTCTGCCCCTTAGAAGTCAGATGGCATTGGTCAAGTTTCTTCAGGAGACATTGGCTTGTTTCTTCAAGAGAACCACTATTAGGACCCACCTCGGGGACTTGTGAGGGGCACGTTGTACAGTGCGGTCGGTCGTAATGAGTTAAGAATTCAGATACTCTCTAGGCGAAGCCATTTTGCACTGAGCCCTGCTCCATCTCAGAGCTTCTTAGTGGCTTGAGCATTTTGACCTCAAGAAGAGTGAATGGTTACACTCTTCACAGGCTCCTCTGAATTGATTCATGTCTTTGAGACCTTAACCACTACCAGCTCCCCAATAATTGGGAGGTAAAAATTACTGTCTAAAAGAGGAGAAATAGATAAGTGGTGATGAACTAAGGGTGAGGTGAGGTCTGAGCTGAGGGTCTTGAGAGTGCTAAGGAGGGAGTGACTGAGTTTGGGGCAGGTATGGGCTGATTTAAGAATAAGGAGAACATAACCAAGGAAGACTTTACCTTTTTGAATTTTCATGTTACTCTATTTTTCCCCCTTCTCTTGACATTTTTGAACCTAGAAGTGTCTTTTACAGATGAGAAAATAGGCCCGAGAGAAGTGTTTTGGTGAAGTCCATGGTTAACTGTGGAACTGGAAATCATCTTTTTTTTCTCCTATGCCTTGCTATCTGTTCTCTATTTGAGAATATAGGCAATTGCTTACTTGATGTGTTTTGGGATGGTGTTTGAAATGTTGGTATTCATAAGTTAAGCAGTAGACTTACATGTAATTATAATAAACTGATAGTTATCTTACAGGCGTTGGTATTTACCTCTTGATTAATCACTGTTTGAGTCTAATAAAATGCTTACCATGTGAATTGTTTTGTGTTCTTCCCATATACCAGGTCCCCTGCTAGGTGCTGTAGATATTGTGATTTAACAGATGGTACAGATTTTGCTTTACATAGATCAAATAAAAACAAAATAATTTTTCTATAATTTTTTATAATTACATATTAAATATTTCTTGCTTCTGCACTGTATTTGAAGTGACATGTGAAAAAGACATGTAATGATGATTTTGTGCAAAATTGAATATTTTGATGCTGATTTTGCTGATATTCATCTTCTCTAAGCTTTGTTAACAAAAAAGTTGGATCTTGTGTTCTTTTGATAAAGGTATGTATTTTCTCCATAACCTTGAGATCTTGAGAAATTTTCTCTGTATATTTATCACTGAAATACTTTATTTTGCTTATCCATTCATAATTTTAGTTTCTTTCCATTTAGAAACTTCTTTAGTCAGTTTCTTCCATTGCTACACCCTGCCTCTTTAAACTCAATCTTCAACCATGCATTTCCAGAATTATGTTATGAATAATGAATACATGTTCTTTTAATGTAATTGAATACACAGTTAAGTATGTATTGAGACCAAAAACTTATCTTTTTTAGCCCTCCAAATTACTTCAGCCTTTGTTTCCAGATTATTCAGCCTTTGTTTCAGTGTTATTGCATCATCTGGTAGTGCCTTTTTGTTTTAATTTGCCTTTTGTGTCCTATCCTAAGGGTGGTATGCAAGTGTTTAAATGACAGCAGAAACACAGCTGTAAATATAAAAACCATGATGCTTTGGGTGCTAAACTGTCAAATGATTGCTTAAAATATTTGTTGGCCAACTGATAAGTAGGCTTCCCTGGTGACTTGGTGATAAAGAATCTTCATGCTAATGCAGGAGACGTGGGTTTGATCTCTGGGTTGGGAAGAGCCCCTGGAGAAGGAAATGGGAATCTACTGCAGTATTCTGGGAAATCTCACGGACCGAGCAGTCTGGAGGGCTACAGTCCATGGGGTCTGTAAAAGTGCCTGACATAACTTAGCAACTAAACAATAATCTAAAGTAAAAGTACTAGTAAGTCCTTACAACTAGTAAGTGAAAGTACGGATTCTCTGTAGAAATGATGCTTTGTGGGTGTCAGTATATAATATATGAAAGCCTGAGCTATATGAAAGTTAAATGTATAAAAATGAGCAACACTTGTGAATATTTTTTTATTCTAGCAGCTTCATTAAACAGATGGCTTTAATGCTGAAGAGGGCAAGTTCATGAGCTACACTCTAGAAGCCAGGAAAGATCTTGGAAAGTCATGCAATGAATCCTTCTCACTGCTGGTATTTAAAGCAAAGCTATGGTGCCTCTTGTCTGTGGTCTGGATCAGTCTGCTTTCTTGGTATCTCTGCATGCCAAGGCTTCAACTCCTACAGAAGGTGCTCTCCTTTTGGACTTGGCCTTCATTTATTTTTTAACTCCTAAAAATTATGAGTGGTGCTAGTGATAAAGAACCAGACTACCAGTGCAGAGACATGAGTTCCATCCCTGGGTTGGGAAGATCCTCTGGAGGAGGGCATGGCAACTCACTCCAGTATTCTCATCTGGAGAATCCCATGGCCAGAGGAACCTAGCAGGCTAAAGTCCATAGAGTCACAGAGTCGGGTATGACTGAGGCAACTTGGCATACAGCACAGAAAAATCTTATTTAGTCCGTATATTTTCAACATCATTACAATATACATAAAATGGCCTGCTCTTGGGTATGGATCTTTGAATCAGCAGTCAAAAGACCTGCATGTCTCTGTCTGTCCCTTAATGAGCTAAAGGGGCATGATGACCTTGAACAGATGATTCTGCATCCCTCTTTCCTTGTCTGTGACTATTAAGGCTCTTAAGCTGTTCCACCCATCTCCCAAAGTTGTGAAAGTCAAACAAATCGTATGCATGAAAGGACTTTGGAAACAATAAAAATGTAACAAACATGAGAAAGTTTTATTGACTGGCAGAGGTAGTTATAGGTTTAACAGTAGGTAGGGATACTAACTGTGGGGTGTTTTTTCCTCCACCCAACAAAATGCCATTTCAACAGTTTCTCTGAGATTTGCAGGCATTTTCTGACTCTACACAGATTCCTCACTCACCAGCAGTGGTGTCAGTGGAAAGGACCAAGTCTCCTTATTTGCAATATTTAAATACTGCAATATTTGTTTTTTTGACTTTTTCATTGAGCCATTTCATTTGACTTTTTCAATGAGCCCTAGCCCTATCTACTAGGACTGCCTAGCATCTGGCATTCTTCCCTCTCCTAGAAAAACTCACTTTACAGGCTGGCCTCTAGGGCCATTATGATCATCAGAAACACCAGTACAATTTTAAGTACTCACATGCAACCTTACCATTTGCTAATGTAAAGACCCAGGGAAGCATGTCTACTGTGCCCTGTAACTAGAAAGATGCAGTTGGTTCCCAGGCTAGAGTGATGGGGAACTGTCTCTGCAAAAGATGAGAAACAGGAATGCTTTCATCTCTCTCATGACTGCTTGCAACAGCCCCTGAGATCATAAATGATGCCCTTCTTCTTGCTGTCTGCAATGGTTTTTTTTTTTTTTTAATCAGAGGATAATTGCTTTTCAATGTTGTGTTAGCCTCTGCTGTAGTAACAGCATGCATCAGCTGTAAGTATTCTCATATATCTTCTCCCCCTTGAAACTCCCTCCTGCTCACCGGCCCCCGCCACCATCCAACTTCTCTAGGTCATCACAGAGCACCAAGCTTAGCTCTGCCAGTGATTTTCTATCACATGTAAGGCCAGATCTAACCACCTTCCTTACCAGTAGTGTTGCAGCACTATCCTTACATGATCTAGGCCTAGTTCCCACACCTGCTATCATGTTCTAGCCCTGCTATCTTGTCGCTGTTCACAAACCGAATAAGAATTTTCCCATCATTTCCCAAGCACTTTGTACTCACTGTTCTCTTCTCCATAAAGATCTTTACACAGATATTTGATAGTTCACTCTCTTCCATCATTTTTCTATCCGAATGCACTCGCGTGGGAAGAATTTTGCTGACCACCCTGAGTCAATAACCTCACATTACTATCCTCTTAGCCTGAAGTTTTTCTTTAGAGCCGTTCTCTCTTTCTGACTTTGTATATTTAATTGCTTATGCATATTTATTTTTGTATAAGCTCCCTGGAGGCTGAGATTTTCTCAGTTTTCTTTTATATCTGTGGCACTTAGAATGGCTAGAATAGAAATGTTCTCATAAATATTTGTTGAATGAATGATTTGTCAAGGTTTATCATCACATTTCCTATTTCCTGAGTCACTAGCTGTCTTCATTGTCCCTCACTTTGCTGCATCTGGGAGAATAATTGGATTACACAATTGCAGTGGCTTGGGGCTCAATGCCATTCTAAGAAATAATT